TAGGAGATTGGTTCCAGGAGAAACACCAAGCTGGGTACAGTAGCTGGTGTAGAGGTTAGCCCTGGCCTGAACCAGATCAGGTCGTTTTCCATCACATTCAACGGGACCATTGATAGCACGAGTCGTTGCACCAAACCCTTGCCCCACCACAGGACGTACTGCGGTCATCCAGTACCATAATGCAGTCTTAAATGACACGACTGGGTCAGTGGACACGGTTTCAGGATTGTTCAGCAAATCTAACCCCAAAGCCTTTCCGGCTGCTCCGTAGTTCAGGTTCCAGCTTAGCTGGAGTGGACCTCGTCCATAGTAGGACTTGCCCGCAGCACATGGATATTCCGTACTTGATTGGCAGTAGGTGTTACTCTTGTCAATCTCTTCGGTGTAACAGAAAGCTAACAAAAAGCAGCATTAGTACTTTTTTATATATATATATATATACACACAAACACCCATTAACTAAAAGAAATAAGATTTTAAACTGAAAATGTGATTAAACTTAAAAATTTCAGTTATCAAGTAAGAATTGAGTTTAGAAATCAAAATAATTTGTTATTATATTAGTTAAATTTTAATATATTTAATTTTTTATTTGAGATGTTTAAATTCACTTATTTATTTTATTTTTTAAAAATTTTATTTAACACATTTATTTTTATTTTATTATTTTAAAAAATAATTATAACATATATCAAATAAAACATTTTATTTATACCATAATTAATTAAAAATAAATATAAAATTTTATCAATAAATTATTATTATATCTCCATTTTATTAGATAAACAAAACTAAATCTCCTAAAATGGAATGGATGGAGCAATACTTACATCCAGTCTCATGTGAGGCTTGGGCAAAGAAAGCAGCGATCTCGCGCTTGTTGTCATCCGCAGAACCTAGTTGTCCAAAGTTAGGGAAGGAACTGAGAGCGCTAAGGAAGGCGTCCCGGGTGTAAAAGCTCTTCCCAGCACAAGTTGCGGGAGCATTGTTCTTGATGCCATCAAAGAATTGGGGTGTGACAATGCTGTCCACAGACTGAGCCATCACATTCCCGGGAGCCGTGGCAAAGACAATGCAGGCAAGAAGGATGGTTAGTAGAGATTTTTTGATAGAAAGGGAAGCCATTTTCTGGAAGGTGTAGGAGGAATGAAGATTTTGTGGTGGATTGAGGGACTGATATCGTGTCCTATTTATAGAGCTAAGGAGGGAGGTGGTACGTTGTAGATTGGTTCCACGTGTAATCAATTTGAACATGTATAGCTTTAATTTCTTGGGACGTATTGACTACGTATCATTGAAATATATATCACTACATGGGATGCTCTGTTGTCTAACTTGACTTGTCAACATAAAAGATTGGTTTTTGTCAAGGTCCAGCATTTGATGTGCACAAAAAGACCGTAGTCTTTAATTTCTAGTTGTACGAAGGTTCATCTAGATTTCTAAGGTGGTGGATACAGCACGTTACTAGGCTTAGGTTTCGGCTGAACATTCAACACGCGGACAGAAGAAAAGAGAATATGAACACTTTAATTTCTTTTGATTTACGGTACTTTTTAATTATCGCTTTATATTAAAAATATAGAAATTACGAGGTTTTAAATTTGATAAAAAGTAAACTTTTTGATGGAGCTAACGATTACTTTCGTTTTGTTAATTTCTCTATATCAAAACTTGTATTCGAACTTGTTCCCTCTTCATGATGTAACTAATAACACTTCCTTCCATACCATCTTTGCAACGAAAAGGTATTTTTCGAACGACGGTTGTTCAATTTTAACATCCTTAGGATATAGTTTATTCATCTTTGGTTTTAATTTTTCAAGCCTTTTGACCCGCAATGCTTGCCGATGATGTTGTCATAGCCATTCAGATGCAGAGCAACGGGCTTTCAAAAAAAAAAAAAGATACAAAGCACCTGCCTCAGATGCCCCTTTCTAGTCAAAATATTGCTTGATATTAGAACAATTTTGACATGAAGTCCCCCAAATTATCTGCCGATTGGCCTTGCCATCTAACATTCCATCGGATAGTTAGTATTATACCATAGAAGAGTTTGGTCAATGTATCTGCGTATGCAGGAAATGATAAACACTTGTTACATTTCCCTTCCACAGAAGAAAGCCGCCTCTTGTCCTGTTAACAAAAGTCTTCATCCTGTTTCTTATATATCCTATATATCTTTCTTCCTCCGTTCTTCGATAGAGACAGCAACAAAATATTCGGATATTACTTGGAACAGAAAGAAGCTATTGATAGTAAGACTAGTAGAGATGCTTGACAATTTTCAACTTAAACACATGATGATACTTCTATTTTCGTTTTAATGATCGTGCGAATACCATAATTTTCGCCGCATAGTGGGTAGGTATCTGATCATTCAATTCATGAAATGATTAAGCTAATAAACCTGTGTAACCTTTGTTTGGTAGTTGTACCTACCATGATATTTTTGCTTCAATGATTTTTATTCAAACTAGAGTTCAATTCGCCCGTTGCGTGGTTCATCTATATCTTTTTTAGAATTTTACCAATTATAGATTTTTATAATAATAATAATTATAGAAAAATGTGTATTAATTTATATTGTAAAAAATTAAATAGAAAAACATCATAAAACTTTGTCATCTTAATACAATTTTAATGAAAAAAATTAAAATATCTTAATTATTTTTAAAATAAGAATGCGGATGTCTTAGTTTTTTCTCATAGTATTTTACTAAAATTTAAGTGTTTTTCCAAAACCGAAGTTTCAAAAAATTCACGTTTCCTACCTCCAAAATTCCGCACCCAGAAAACTTCAACGTGATTCAAGCCAACCCCACGAAACTGAAGCACTCTAGACGGGGGAATGAACTTGATTTTGGAGCGGAAATCCAAGTACTTGAAAATTGAAAATCTCACGTACTGAGACTTGGATGGAATAACAGGAAAGAAAACGTTAGATGTGGAAGGGGAAGGGGTACTTAAATATTTATAGGAGATCTGTGTCGGGTGCAATCCATGCAATTTTGTTGACCCGGTAGAATGCAATCCGAATTCGAACTGAACATTTTTTCTGGACCCAGTGGCCTATTGCGGAAAGGAAGTAATAGAATAAAATAGCGGTTTATGGTTGGATTGGGCCTTAGAGTTTGGGCTTTACAATGCAATGCAATTTTTTTTTCTAGAATGCATTCCCTCTTTTTAGTTGATGAAGTTTTGTTTTGTTTTGTATGTATGTATGCATGTTTTCTTTTCCCTTTTTTTTTT